TTTTTTTAACTCTTTGCATAACTTTTTGCAAATCGTTCATTATAATTTAATCTGATCTCACTATATTTTATAAATATTACAAGCATAAAATCATAATTATTATAGAATGAACCTATTAAAACAGAAGTCTCGCTAGTATTATTCTTTAATTTGTCTTATATGATTTGATTTTTAAGCGTCAATATCTAATCAATTCCATTCCCTCTCGTGACTAGTGTTAGACGTATCGAGGCAAAGATCGATATTGAGTACTTTAAAAAGTATCTAATCAAAATATCGATGCCAAAAAAATATCGTGGCGAAAGTATCGATAGTACTCAATATCGAATTTTGAGTACTTTCATGAAAAAAGTGCAAGAAAGATCTAAAATAATTAAATATCATATCACCAATATTAGAATGAATTCTATTGCTTGTATCTGATGTGTTAAATCAGAATCATTTTCAATATTGTAAAATGTTAACAGTAATTTATCAATACTAATTTCAAATTCTATACTTCTTCAAAAAAAAATACAAGTTATAATAGTTTGAGTATTTTTGATTAAAACAATATAATAGTCTGATACTATATTCAAATGCAATTTTTATCATTTTAAGTACAATAATATTTTTATTATTTTTAAGTAAATATTTTATAATTGTTGAATATTTTTATATGAATAATTTTAGCGAGCATTACAACTTTAAAAGCCGTTACATGTTTACATAAAAGTGCAAAATTAAGCTCTTCGGAAAGCAATAAACATTTAGTTTAATGACGGTCAAAATAATATTTCGGCACTTAAAAAACATCCCTTCGGAGCGATGGGATTTAAAGTTTAAATGGTTCCGAGAAACTCAAACCCATATGTTTGCATGCTGATATTCAAAAATTTCAATACATGAGTATTTTGCGTAAAAAAAGAATCGAAATATATTATTTCGAATAATAACTCAACCATTTCAATATATTAGTATTTTGCGTAAAAAAGAACGAAATATATTATTTCGGATAATAATACTCAATCATTTCAATATATAAAAATATATATATTTATATTTTAAAATATAATAAACACAAAATACTAATATATTGAAATTGATGATTATTATTATTTGAAATAATTATATTTCGATCTTTTTTACGTTAAAATACTAATTATTGAAATTGATAAGTATTATATTTGAAATAATCATACTTCGATTGTGAATATGTTTTATAAAACATTTAAGGTACTTTAAATCATTTATTTTTTCATTTTACATAAGAGTAATAAATAAACATCTTTAGTTATGAGTGTGGTCATATTCTTTGGGTTTTTGAGCAATAAATTCTGAGACTAATGACCCTTCGGGATAATTTTTTGACATTCTTTGAACAATATGACCACCTAGGGAGACTATTGCTTTGCATTTGGCAATGAGAGGAGTTAATAGTTGGTCGATGAGTGGTGTGTTCATAGATTACGCTGTCGATTCTTTTTGAGTACTATCGACGAAAAGAATCGATATTGGCAAATAGATCGAGCTAAAAAATCGATAGCAAAAGTACTCACTATCGACCGCAAAGTATCGATATTTACTCAGTACTCGATATTTCGTTCTAACACTACTCGTGACAACACTTTTATTAATAATTTCACGCCCTTGAGCTTTATATGTATACAGTGTTGATTAGGTCCGGTCAATAGATTCCACAGATGAGTTGGTGTTCGTCGGCAATAATGAAAATGCTTTCGCATACATGAACGATTAATTTCATCGCATTTTTTAATTGCGAAATAATTTTATAGACCGCTCAATGGACTGAACAATCGATTTGACGCGCTTCATGTATTTTTGCATATAGGTACCTACACACATTGACGTCATAATTATACCACAAATATGTAAAGTTATTGTTCACATATGGCAAACATATGTTTTCAAAAAAAATTTATCTAATTTCAAAAATATTACCTTTCTGATCCATGATTTTAGTTCTTTTATTTACATGAAATTGAAAAATAAATGGTGATTATTGGTGATTATAGCAAGTACAATTTTAAATACTGTATAAACCATAATTGTTCCCAAATATGAAGAGCAAGATTAAAGTAGCTTATTATATTATTAATAATACGATATTAAGACATTATTAGTTTGACTATTTTTTATATTATATTGGATTGCATTAAACAACAATTGTTTAAAAAACATCGTTAAAACTAATAATAAGTTAATTTTAAATATCATGTAAGCCAGTTAGAAACGCATATTTGAAAAATAACGTTCAACAGATCAATACCAGTATACAATTACAGACTATTATATATTTCAATTTTAATTCAAAGTCATATGAAACATCTTTTTTACTAGATTTCTTTCATTACTAAATGCCTTTAAATTTTTTTTTAAATTTGAAGAATACATCGTACAAACCATGACCTCTTATTTCGTCTAACTTTCTCTGTATTTTTAAGTAAACTTGGTCCGTGGGTAAAAAGGTCGAAGGTCCATTTTTTCTGAAACAAGTATTTTCTGTAAACATTATTTTAAAGCTGAGGACAAATGATGTGTAACCAGTTATCGCCTTAAATCGGGCAACTTCGCTATCCTGCAATACATGGCTACAATTACAAATTTTTGTTGAATTGTATTCAGTTTACGATACCTGATTATAAATTTTAAGTATACGTTATTAATTATTTTTAGGTTTTAAGATTGCGATAGATAAATTGAATTAATAGTTATTCCAACTCTAACGATGAATTCTTCTGACAAGAACTGTAAAAAATCTGCAAATGAAATATGTTTATTAAGACTGAAGTTGTACTTACCTTATTTGTATTAAGTAATTGTATTTATGGAAAAATGAGTCTGATCATGATAAACTAAACAACTAAATTACAAAAGTAATATTCATAATAGTAGTTAGAGTTGATTTTTTTATTATGTCTCAAATTACATATTTAGATTATAAATTTTAATTTTGTTGTCCAGCCAAATAATTAAGCTCTATCGTATTGATTAAATAATGTGATTATTATTCCATAAATTCTCTTGAAAATTGAAAATAAATCAGTGGACCTTTTTATCTTCTGGCTGTTGATTATTAACCTGTCTATTGGGTGAAATAAAAAGTGTCAGATATCATTAGCAAAATAGTAAAAAACAAACTTCTACCTCTGTTTTTTAACTATTTTGCTAATGACATCTGACACTTTTCATTTCTTCTACCATAATGAATTAGCTTAGAATTTTTAATGTGTATTTTTTTGATATGTATTGGTTTTGTTTTCACAGTATTCTAAATTGACTGGTAATTATTAAAAGGCAAAATAAACCTTTTTGCCTCGCCCTCTCTATATCATAATAAATTGAAGGAGCATTCAATTTCGATTACAAATAATTTGTTACTTAATTATATACATTTTTCAGTTTTGCCAGATTTGTTGCAAAAGAAATGATACGAGACATAGCCAGAGAAGAAGAAAGAGGCGGCGCATTTGAACCATTACAATTCCACAAGATTTATATTCATCGATATGAAAATGTATCAATATATTTGCCGATATCAAAGGATTTACTGGTTAGATTATTTCTTAATGAATAATTAAAAAAATAACGAACTTCTTTTCAATTATAATATTTACTTTCAGAATTAGCAAGTAGATGCAGTCCGCAAGAGCTTGTAAGAATTCTAAATGATTTATTTGCAAGATTTGATAAATTGGCTACAGTAAGTGATAAAAAAATTAAATTATTAAATACTCCAATGCTAATGTGTTGAACTTTTATTTTGTGTTTTTTATAATGTGTAAATTTTTGAAATTTATTTAAAATTACATTTCTTCATTTTTGGTGAAAAAGCAATTAAATGAGCAATCAATATTTTCAATACATGTTAAAGAATATGACTCATATTCGCAAAACCAATCAAATCATTACTGGGATTTTTGAATTATTTTCTAATTATACAGGGTTCGCCATCAATATGTGGTCAATGGAAACATTGAAATTTTGTTTGCGCAATGAAGGGGATCATTTGATCGACGTTGTTTGTCGAATCAAGTTGAAAAAATGGTAAAGTTTTAAATTTGATAATAAACAAAAGTTTATCAAAATTTATTTAAAATTATTCAAGTTATTCAACATTTTCATTGACTACATATAAATGGCGCACTCTGTAATAACGGTTGATATCAGAATATAACTAACTTACTATATTGGTAAGTTAACAAATAATTTTACATGTTCCAGTATTAACTCAATAAATTGTCTTGCATCTTATTTGATAATTAGATGTGCAATCACATATAATATAATTTTAGGAAAATCATTGTCTTCGTATAAAACTACTAGGAGATTGTTATTATTGTGTTTCTGGTCTTCCGACGGCCCGAGGCGATCACGCTGTATGCTGCGTCGAAATGGGTCTTCATATGATTAAAGCCATCAGGGATGTCAGGCATCGAACCCAGGTATTTAGTTTTTTAATGTTATAATTTTTTTTATTATTATTTTTAAACAGCAATCAGAACCTAACAGTACTATAAGCTGTTGTGTTGATTTTGACTTAATACGCGTCTGTTTGACAGATGGCAACCCAATAAGTTGTCACATCTCTCTATGATATATTATTACAATTTCTGTAATAGGGCGAGTATTTTTAATGATGCAGCAATGCCGGGTGAGGGCTATTTTCACTTGGAAACATATTGCTGTCTATATTTTAAGTGAAAATCGTTGTTACTACTGCCTGACAACAGGCTGCTCGAAGTGGGTATCGAACCTGGGACCTCCGAAACTCTTCTCCGAAAGTCCCGTCGCTCTTAACTGCTTATCTACGGGCGGGCCCGAAATAATATTAATAATACATTATTTTTTATGTGATAATATTTTAATATTGTGATCATTTCTTTGACGAGTTTTGTTTTTACGTTTCAATTGGATTTATTATATTTTATTTAGTGGCATGAATAAAAAAATATGTCGTATATTATGAAAAGTGTAAACTCATTTTTACTGGAGAGTTTACACGCGAAAAATCATAGCAATATAAACCAGAGTGAACCAGGTGGAGTGGTAATTCGCTAGGCAAGTTGCAAAAACTTCCTGATATGTGTGAGAAATCGACAATATTGTTACGCATTGAAATTCAACATGTTTTGAAAATATGACGATTAAAATTTAAAATTTTGACATCCTTCTTCCCCATTATTTAAATTAATTCAAGGTGTTTTTATAATTTGGCCAAATTTTGTAGACGTTAAATATTTTACAATATTCGTTAATACCATAAAAATTCTATCATAAAGAGTTTTATCAAAATTGTCCAAAAAGCTATTTTCTACATTTAATTGCGAAGAAATGGCATGGTAGGACTTTACAAGAAAGATGTATCTAGCAGCTCTATTCATAACTGCTCTTTCTTCTATAATTGTAAAAAAAGAAATAACTAATGGAGGCGAGTCTATATTGTGTTTCATTTTCATTTGTTTTAATTGTAAAAAAAAGAATCGGCAGACAGTTGCTAATAACTAATCGAAGCAAGTCTATATTGTGTTTCATTTTCTTTTTTTTTATAATACATGTGTTATACTACCTACACATAAGACGTATAAAAACAATTACATCAATTAAGACATATGAACAAACTACTATCGAACAATGTTCCGTAAAATCTTTAGTTTTTCTAAAATTTGTTAACTGTCGCTTTTTACCTCATGGAGGAGGCAAGGGGCCTCCAGATCCAATGTTTTAATTTCAATTTAAGTGATTTTATGAAATAATAGCTACATTATTCAACCAATGCAAAATATAAATTTCCATTAGCGCATTTTTTACTAACAAAAGAACATAGTATGTAATCATGATTTGGTATTTCGTCAGAAATATTCATCAGCAAAGTTGAAATTACTATTAATTTAATTTATCTCTAGTACCATTGCATTTTTTATGTAATTTACTTCTTTATTTACTATATGCTCATTGTTAACATTTTGCCAGTGTACAGCGAAAAAAAAACTTTTGTTACAAATATTGATATGTGGCCGTTTATCTCTTGATATCGTAAGAATTAGGGTAATGACAGATTGAACATGCCATGCTTTCTAATTTTAAAATAGTATCGTTAAAAAAATCTATACTTTATTTGTTTTGGGATGATGGTGGTAGACCTTTTACCGATTGAGCTTTAAGCCCTGCTCTACCTTACACACAAGTAATTCAAAATGACTTGAAACGCCGAGAAAACATACAATTAGTAAATCCGATTTTTTGGCGAAAGCATAATCACATCCTTTGGAAAGTTAATAAATAATGTGCCATCTGCTTAAGACATCATCTGACGATTTCTCGTCCATATCTAATTAAAATTATTTATTTTTAAATAGTTTCTTCCAATTTTCTTTAGTAATAGTTAGTTAGTGTCAAATGAAATTTACACGAAAAATTCTTGAAAAACAAAGATTAGCAGTTAAAACCATTTTATCACAAAAATATTTGCTTGATTTTGACATAATTTTTGAGAAAAGAAATCAATCAATCAATCAATCAATTAATCTACTTTAAGAAATAATTCCTCTTTCATTTTACTTTATTAATTGTTTCATTTGCGATCGATCAGGTAGATCTCAACATGCGGATAGGAATACACAGCGGGTCTGTGTTATGTGGGGTCCTTGGATTGCGAAAATGGCAGTTCGATGTTTGGTCTTACGACGTAACTCTAGCCAATCATATGGAAAGTGGCGGTGTACCTGGGTAATATTAAATATTATTCTTTGAATAATCACTTATGGCATTATTTTACATAAAATAATTGTTTTTATCATCCCCAGTCGCGTTCACATATCAGCAGCAACATTAGCTTGTCTGAATGGGGTATATGAAGTTGAACCAGGTGAAGGAGAGTCAAGAGATCCTTATTTAAGAGAGCATGGTGTTCAAACATATCTAATTAAGCAAGCTGAACCATTGAGGCCGCGCAGAAGACTTGTGTCAAGACCTAGGTAAATAATTTTATTTTCGGGTAATTGTATCTACAAATACGTATGTAATATGTATCTATACATGTGTGTGAAAAAGCATTATAAATGATTTTTGTTGAATCGCAAACTTTTCAGAAACGGATGATTTATCTAAAAAAATGTTCAATACGTTGATGGTATATTTCTGAACCCCAAAATTGACGTATAGCTGTAGTTTTTCGGTTTCGGCGAGTTACGAAACATATAACAAATGTTAAAATGTGTAATAAAAAATCACTCTTATAATAATATTTACGCTCAGATTAATGACATTGGAAATGACATATTATATCATAAATAAGTAATTAGATTTTATTGCATTTTAATTATTTTAGAGAAACTTAGAGCAGCAATGAGGAGACGAAGATAAAATTTTTCAAAAATATAAATTTTAATAACTTTTATAAATAGTGCACTGTTAACAACTATTGGCATTTTATCAGAAAATTAACCTTCTTATATAATTTAGATGCAAAGCCTTTGTGGCGCAAATTTTACATTTTTTTAATATAATAATATAATCTTATATAAAACTAGTGGGGTGTATGGCATCGTGCCTTAAGGCAAATTGCTGGAACTTTCCGTACCGCAATGAAATGTTTGAGGAATATTGAATGTTTTCAAATAGATTATTATTAATATTGTAACATTTGTCTAATATTTATAAGAATTATATAAACTATATAATTTTAAAGTTAAAATTACTTGTTTAAAGTATATTAGAACTTTAGTCAGAATTAAAAATAAAATTTGAATTATTTTCGACATAAAAGAATTTTCTGAAAAAAAAAATTTGCAACAAAATTTTTTTGTCCAAAATCAATTATTTTGTTAAAACAAGCAAAAAGTTCTTCGAATTCTCTCAAAAAACTGTCATTTTTTGCACATTTAGCTCTGTATCTTCGTAATGGCTGGGCCTGCCTTTGCTAAAAACTAATAACCACTTCTCCCAATCATCACTAATTGAATGTTTTTTAGATCATTCAAATAGGACGCTCCGTTCTCTCAAAAACTCGATTTCTATTGTCTGCACTCTTTGCTTTTTATTCCGTAACTGCTAGACCTGCCTTTACCAAAAACTAATCAGCACATTTCCCTATGAATAGGAATCGAATGTTTTTTTAACCATTGAAATCTGTTGATCCGTGCATCCGAGAACGTGACCAAAAAATTGTATCCATGCATACATACACACACACATCCATTTTTTCTGAGGTATGCCAAAATATTCAGAAACCTTCAAAACGTCGAGAAATGCAAAAATTTTCGATTTTTGGACGATTACAATAACTTACCCTATGAGAAGTTAAAAAGATACATTCTATCACATGTAAATCTAATAACTTTATTATTTTTATATGTTTTTTTTTGTGGTCGATGAATTGATGCTACCACGTAAACTTCAGAGCTTAATTCATATGATATCTTTCAATCAATTATTACAGAGTTTATGTTCAATCCGGCATTAGAACTAAATATATTTACAGTATATTTAATCAAAGGCTATGGTCAGAAGACGAAAGGCCATCCGTGTGTGCCAGCAACTCTGAAATGATGGATAAGGTTCCAGAACGCACAATGCCTAGGAAAACAAGGGCGGCATCTGCTTCAGTTGATGAAGAAATTACAACTGACTGGATTCCCGAAATTCCATTTGAAAACGTATGTAGATAAAAAGATCTTAATTTTGTTAGAATACCTAGTTTATCAAATATTTTTTACTTGATAGAAATGTTTTAATTTTTTTTAGAATATCTAGTTTATCAAATATTATTCACATTTCTCTAATTTTAGGAATTTTCTATTCGCAAATTGGTGGTTGATATTTATTTTGTTTCTCTTATGCAATTTTCTAATAATTTGCAAAATATTACTTAATTCTTTTGCAAAAGCGGTGTTTGCTGCAGAAGTGGCACTGCTATACAAGCCAGCATAAGGCCAAAGTATTTGCTATATACAACGGGTTTTAAAATTTTTTTAATTACCGTCAATGAAAATATATTTCAAAATTAAAAATTACCCTTTTGCAGAACTAATGATTAGAATAACAATTTAGAAACCTCAATAATTGAACTCAGATTGATATAATTCTTGAAGCAAGTGTGTCGACACTCAATTAGGTCCTTATTGATAATAGAAAATAATGGGAAGATAAAACATTGCCTAATCAAATCTTTTAATCCAATTGACAGCAAAAGATATAAATTAACAGTTAAATCAAATGAATCTGCAGCAACTGCAGCAACTGCAGCAACTTATCATAGATTTAACAATAATTTTCTATTTATATTTATGATTAATTTTCTCAATTGTACCCGTAATTAGCAAATGTTACTTGAAGATTAAACAAAGTTATTTAGTGTCAAATAAATATAATAGACAAAATAAACAAACAACTATTAATCAACTTTACATACTCATATTATTACTAAAATTTCAAACAATAATTTATTAATTGTGCAATACTTAGTATTAGTTTAGTTATTTAGCTCGCACTTAGATTATGATTTTTTTATTTTGTATTTCTATGCATTTAGCTAAATACTTCAGCTACTGGTGAATTAGATGATGACTTTTTAGATCACAATGCTTCCTATAGAGGTAAACCACCACCTTCTACTGATTCTAGAAATGTATCACTCAGCATGACTGAGCAGGTAATTTGGAAATTATGTATCTTTGTACTCATAAATATTTATGTAGTAGAAACTTAGTCTTGTTTTATTTTTCGTATGAAACAGTAATAATGAAATTATTTAATTTTTAGTATTTAGAGTAAAGTTAAATGTAGTAAGTGGTTTTGATCATAATTATAAATAATTTAAAAAATGTGCTAATGCATTGTTAACATCTCGAAGGATAAGTTTTGGACTCATTTGCTAAACGTAAAAAAAGTTTTGCCAAAAAAATCGAATCCCTGTTGAGTTTCATCGTTTATAAATTTGTACGCCAAATTTCGACTCACATGAACATACATACTTCATCTAATTTTGGTCTTGAGCAATTCAGAATGATTTCAAAAATAAAAAAGAACATGAATTTGGAAAATTAGAAAATATAAAACTTTTCCTCTGTGAATTTAAAAACAATTATATTTTATACAATCTTGCACGAACTTGCTCTGCAAATAACAATTTAATATTATAATCTATGTGCTCATAAATTTTTATATAAGCAGGCACATACTAAAATATTTCGAATAAGGCTAGTTATTTCATTAGTCTTCTTAATTCCTACATCAAACCATTTTCTATATCTTAATATAGGTCGATGACATCATAGATCATAGTATTGAAATAGAAAGCAATAAAAGAATGAGAAATGATAATGTAAATCCATGGACATTGAATTTCAAAGATGGTTCTCTGGAAGGAAAATTCTGCCAAGTACGCGAAGACATGTTCAAATCGAACATGTTATGTTGTTTCATAGTTTGGGTCTTCGTCGTGATGTGCCAAGCGATAATTCTTCCAAGGTATTAAGTCTAATCTCATATAAATAATAAAGTTGTTTCTATCAAATTATCTTTTTTCAGCTGTACTGCTTTAGTGATAAGTCTGACAGCCACTACCTTTTTGTTGACATGTGCATCTGTTCTGGTACGAATTTAATATTTTGTTAATACTTTTTAAAATAGTCTGAAATTATTAATTATGTATTCTTGGCAGGTAATGGCAGAAGAGTTTCACCAACTTCCAAAAAATTTGCAAAAAACTTCTTCTATGTTAGTTCATAACAGAATGTCGCGAACAACTTTTATTTGCGTCATCGTGATCCTAATGTCTGCTGCAAGCTCTATAAGCTTGTTATTATGCCAAATGCCAGGTTTGTGAATACTAAAATATGGAAATGTTCATTTGCAGTAATATAACAAGCATGTTTTACTTTCAGTTGTAGACGAGTATGATGACGAATTACAAACTGCTATTACTGCAACCACCAAAAGCCATCACGATTCTTCGGAAAATACACAATTAGTTGTAGGTTTGAATGAGGTTTCATTAGTACAGCCTCTATACTTAATCGCAGTTGGTCCATTGACACAGAACAAAAATATCACTAAACCTCTAATAAACGAAATTCAAAATGAGCTTCCTATTATACAAACAGATACCGTCGTAAAAAATAATTCCAATGTTGTGAATATTTTTGTTACTGCAACAATACATCATAATATCACTATAAATAGTGATGATCCCAAAACTGCTAATTGCACTGATGATTGTATCAAACAATTGGTATTAGATCAAACATTGAATTTTACTAATTCTAATCTTCTAGAGCAATCACTAAATTTAACTAACCCTCCTCAAATTGAAAATAAGAGGCGAAAAAGATTTGATATTGAATTTACTGATGTTGAAGCTATTAAGGAGAGTAACAGAAAATTAGCAATGCGCCAAGAAGCAGAAATGGTGCAACAAAAGCAACAAGAAGCGCCGACTATGGATGATGAGGATGATGAAGAACCAGAAATTTTACCAAGAGAATGCATTCATCCAGAATATGTGGTATTTACGTGGGTTTTATGCTTGGTAGTTTTAGCAACCGCCTTGAAATTGTATTATTTAGTGAAAACTTGTTTGGCAATTATAATGGTAACCGTGTATACCCTCCTGATCATGTTGGCGTACCCCGATGCATTTCATGACCCGGTACTGGAAAGAAAGTAAGTTGCTCATTAGAAATTATAAAATAATTGTTTGTACAAGTTAGCTTTATTTGTTACATCAATAATATTATATACTAAATTGGCCAAATATTATCATAAGTTTATCAGTTTCAATTACTTTTTCATTAATGATAATTTTGCTTTTTAAGAATGGGAATGTCGCTCTCTGCTCAGATGTTGATTCTGTTGGCTGTCTTTTTGGTGATGGTTACTTACCATGCCCGCCTAGTTGAAGTGACCTCAAGATTAGACTTCTTGTGGAAGCAGCAAGCAGAACGAGAACTTGCAGATATGGTTGACACAAGACATAATAATACACAGCTGCTTAAGAATATTTTGCCGGATCATGTTGCTCATCACTTTCTTTCGGAAGATAGACAGCCTGATGTAAGTTTAATTAATAATATTGCATGAATGATAATATCTTTGTGTTCAAAATAATCTTACTAACAAGTTAATATTATTTAGGAATTACAATTTTGTAAAGTCTTGTCATTGGTAATCAGTAGTATTAATTCATTCTGTTTTTTTGGTAATTTCGCACAGATAAATATTTATTTATTAAACAATTAGTTTGCTTCAAATTTTAATTTACAGTAACAAATTTAAAAGCATATATTAATGTAATAATAATAATAAATTGTTTTCTGTCTGAGTGAAAGCTGGTCTATGATATGAGAGCCAACAAGTAAAGGATTCCTTTTCACTTCCTTGTTTATTATTTTTATTATTAGTTTTTTTTTTAATTATTTACTTTTTGGACACGCATTTTTCATTTCCAAACAGTAATGTGATATAAAATAAATATTAGTAAATATACTAGAGTAAAGTCAAATGTAGTAAGTTTGATTGCCATTTTAAGAATTACAAAACAATTGAAGCTAAATTTTTGAAGAGATTATGGGGTTAAAAAATCCATTTTTCACAATTATTTTTACCAATCATTAGCAACAGAAGTATTAGTAAATATGCTAAAGTATTCACAATCCTAATAATACTAAAATAGCTAAAAATACTTAAGTGAATTCTAAAATAGAACTTGTGATTATTATAATATTAAAATTTGATAACATTTACGCAACCTAATTCATACCTAAACCTGATAAAATTTATCTATTTAGAAAGTCTACTACAAACTACAATTACCCGTCCAATTCGACACATTGAAAAATATCCAACTTCAAATATTTGTTTTGATTGTCTTATATATTTATCATAAATTAATTTTTTGATAAATTGCGTTTGCAGGCCCCAAGTTACAATTTAGAGTATTCAATTTTTTCTTCCGTGTAGTTTGTTTTCGACAAAAATTCCGGTTTGCTAACTTTATGTTCTCTGCTCGTTTCAAGTCATTCTGAAGCAGCTTTTACCAAACTTATTACAGCCTATTTTTCAAACTTTCGTCCACGATTTTTTTTTTCGTCCACGATCGGTTAGACCGATTTTAAAAGTTCAAAAGCCATTAGATGTAACTCAACAAGAACTCACATGAAAGTTTTAAAAAATAATTCTTTTAAAATTTGTGCCAAAAGTCGTATTTATGTTGTGATGGGCTAAAATTTGAATTTTGTAGACATTTTCTTAACAGCCATTGGTTTAAACTCGAAATGGAGGTGTCGCGACTGAATTTGCGAGACGATCAGCTAAATCGTTTCTTTGGAAGTGTTTTTTATACCGTTTTTCGCATAAATCTTGCTATCTCATGTTTATGGATTTGTTCACATAAATTAATTAATAATTATCTAAATAGATTGTTTATATCTAAGTCACCTAACAAAGAGTGGTCAAAACTTGTCTATGTAAAAATGTTACCATTAATTTAAATGATTAAATAACATCAAGAACTACGCGCATAATATTCATAATCGAGTCATTTTTTTCTTATAGCAGATGCTTAATATTGCACAAAATTATTCATCAAAAATGTTTTAAATGAATAATATGAATGAACTTAAATTAAATGAAAGGCACTAAAATGCCGAGCACTAAATTCATTAAAATTTGTGATGGGCGCTTTTATAATATACAAGCATGTGTTTTAAATGCGTTTGAGAAATTAAGTATTGTAATGTTTAGTTTTTAGTGAAAGCAAAGACTTCATTTTCAAAATAAACTCTTAGAAAATGTGCATGAATGAGTAAATCTCAATTTCGATTGATTAAGTCAATTTTTACACATATTGGGAGGTTCATTCAACTTGTCTTAAGGCAAAATGCCACTGACAACTAATTTTTAATATGTTTAGTATAATTAATAAATGTAATAATATCATTAGCCAATATAATCATTTATCAAATTATATAATAATATTTCATAGTTTCACTTCATAATTTCAATTAATATATCAGTTATTTTTCAGCATCATCTTCAAATGTTAATGAATCATCAAGATTAACCAACATTTATGTACTAACGGAGAGGTTATTGAAAATAATTTTAGAAGAAGAACTCTTTTTTGTAGCGGTAACAATAATAATGATATACTTTCAATTAAATTATAATTAATATTGATATTGAAATGAAGATAATCATACGAATAATACGAATACGAATCATTTAACTTTTAATTTGCATTAAAAATTAAATATTGATGTTGCTAGTACGAAATTACTCTTTTTTCTACTTTCCACATATAATGAAAAAAAATCGAAGGACAACACAAATAGAAAATTATGTACACATTTATAGTTTCATTTGATCAAATTTGCGATGAAGTGTTCTCTTCATGGAAATGGTTGTGGTTGAAATTTATTGTTTTATTTCAAAATATTAATACCTAATTTGATTAGGTGAAATTTGATATGTCCCAGGAACTGTATTCTCAATGGCGAGCGGACGTCGGAGTCATGTTTGCGAGTATTCCAAATTTCACTGAGTTTTATTCTGAGGATATTAATAAAGGAATGGAATGTATACGATTGCTCAATGAAATTATTGCGGATTTTGATGAATTGTTGGACGAAGCACGATTCAAACCCATCGAGAAAATAAAGACCGTAGGCGCAACCTACATGGCTGCTTCAGGGTTAAATCCAACACAGGTAATTATATCAGCATTACAATTATTTGCAGTAGTATTTACTTTTACCAGCATTTAATATTCATACCCTAAAATAACACGCAGATCTATATAACGTTGATGCTTTTGTTTATTACTTTCAATATGCTTATTCCAATAAAAAAAAAAGTTAAACATTGAACTATACAAATGATATTAATGCAAATTATATCAAATATTAAAATCGTATTTAAAATGTTGATGAAACTAATGCAAATAAATGTTGCAAAAATTATTTATAATATAATTTTCATAAAAATTATTAAATTATTAGTTAATAATCATATGAATGAAATTATCATAAGAATTAACATTCTTCAGAATTCTGCACGTTATGTATAATTGCGCTTTCACCGGAAATCAATTCCGATAAAATCGAGTATATCCAAAAAGTATCATTGAATCGAGCTTAATACTTGGACTTTTTGTTTTAAAAACAATTAATATGTAAATTAAATTAATAAAACAGATATCAAAATCTTAATAACAGTGTAATACTTTAAGGGATGAATTTAGTAAACTTTAGTACTGGTGTAGGTTATATAATAGAGCGTTATAAATTACATAATATGAATAAATTGGTAATATTCCATATTATTGCAAAATCTGATACAGTTAGTATTTTTAACTTCCGTGGGATAAATTATAGTAATCGCAAAAAATCGAAAATATTTTTTTTGCATATCTTTACGTTTTAATGTCTTTTGCATAGTTTTGTATACCGGTATACAAAAAGGCCTTAGAAAAAATTGATGTATTTGTGTGGATGTATGTGTGTATGTGTGTGTGGATACAAATTTTCGTAGATGATTTCGGGATCACGGATCAACCGATTTGACTAATCAAAAAAAATCGATTCGTATTGATAAGGAGAAGTGCTGATTAGTTTTTGGCTTGATGTGGATATGTCCAATGATCATTTTTGTCCACCAATTGGCACTTTTTCACTTTTTATTAGATCTCTACAACCGCTAGACACGCTTTCCCAAAAATTTCATCAGTTCTTTATTTTGTCAATACAAATGAAATGTTTTTTGAATAACACAAATCGGACACACGGTTCTGTCAAAAAATCAATTGTCGCTGTCATTTTTGTCACTTTTTGCATTGTATCTTCGGAACAGCTGAACCTGACTTTACCAAAAACTAATCAGCACATCTTCTTATCAATAGAAATTTTTGAATCATTCGAATTGGTTGATTCGTGTTCTCAAAATCGTCGACGCCCCTCCTCGACGTTATGCCAAAATATTCAGAAACCTTTGAAACGTGAAGATATATAGAAAAAAAATATTTTCGATTTCTTTGCGATTACTATCACTTTCACTACGGGAAGTTAAAAAAATCAAAATTTTCAAAAAATTCTAAAGCATTTAAAAAAATTTAATTCAGGTACGGAAAGTTCCAGTAATTTGCCTTAAGGCACGATTCTATGCACCGCTAGTTTACTTAAATTTTAAATTAGATATATTAATTTTTTTCTAAAGGGTTGTGTCGATGAACTGGAGCACGTATGCGCTCTTGTGGACTTTGCGATCGCCATGCGCCATCGTCTGGATGACGTTAACACCCATTCATTCAACCACTTCCGACTCCGGGTTGGTTTGAGTTGTGGCTCTCTGGTCGGTGGTGTCATTGGTGCCCGCAAACCAGTCTACGACATTTGGGGCAATACTGTGAACGAGGCATCGAGAATGGATTCAACGGGAGCAATGGGTTGCATCCAAGTACCTCGTTATACGGCTGATGTAAGTGAATACGATAATTTCATGACTTATATTTGGAAATTGCACTTTTTAATTCTACATGCACAAATATTGTTGTTCTGTTCTTTGTTAACTTCTTGCAATCGAAGTTTATGTTTTTGTCAAAAAATCCAGTTTGCTAATATTTGCAATATATTGAACTCTGTATTTTTCATAATAAAAATTATTGGCCGGTCTAAATCCGAAATTTAGATTGTAGCTTACTATACAGTGTCACATGTAGGATAGGAAGAGGCACAAATGTCTAGTTTAACTTTGAGCAGTTATATTGTGATTACTAAACTAATTATATCGCAACAAATAATACACATCAAACTAAAAACTATCTGACTGTGTTTAGCAAAACTCCCAGCTAATTTATCTTTAAAAAATGTTTTTGCTGTTTTTTTTAATTTGTCTCCTGGTTCTTTTTACCCCATAGCCGGGGTAAAATAGAACAGCCAGGGGGCAAACAAATGCACTATTTTATATTCAATTTTGAAGAAATTTTACATAATAATAGCTACATTGTTCAACCATTGCGAAATATAAATTTCGTAGGTACGTTTTTTTCAGGGATAACACTGTATATATCTTTGATCTGTTATTACATCAAAAATAATCATAAGCATAGTGGTAATAATTGTTTATTTAACTAACATTTTATAAAATAGCTTTTGTTAAGTTAATTTATTTTTTTATTTACTAGTTTTTATTGTTTACACCTTTTCCGGGGTAACGGTTCAATTGGTCCTTTTTACCCCATTCACACGTGAGCTTTTATAGATTTTATCTAAAACTAGTGGGGTGTATGGCATCGTCCTTTAAAGCAAATTGCTGGAACTTCCCGTACCGTAACGAAAAGTTCGAGGAATACTGAATGTTTTCAAATAGATTATTATAAATATTGTAGCATTACCTAATATTTATAAGAATTATATAAACTGAATTGCAAAGTTGAAATTATTTGTTTAAAGTATACTAGAACTTCAGTCAGAATTAAAAATAAAATCTGTTTTATTTTCAATATACAAAAAAAAATAAAAAGTTTGAAAAAAAAATTATTTTGAAACAAAAATGTTTTTTCCAAAATCAATTATTTTGTTGAAACAAGCAGAAAGTTCTGTGAATCATTCAAATCAGACGCTTAGTTCTCTCAAAAACTGTCATTTTTTTGGCAAAAACTATTAACTACTTCTCCCAATCATTACTAATTGAATGTTTTTTGATCATTCTAATCGGATACTCCATTCTCACAGAAACTCGATTTATATTTTCTGCACTCTTTTCTCTTTATTTCCGTAACTGCTGGACCTTTGTCAAAAACTAATCAGCACATCTCCCTATCAATAGAAATCGAATGTTTTTTGAACCATTCAAATCGGTTGATCCGTGCGCCCGAAAACGTGACCGAAAAATTGTATTCATAACATACATACACACACACACACATCCATTTATTCTGAGGTATGCGAAAATGTTCAGAAACCTTCAAAACGTCGAGAAATGTAAAAATTTTCAATTTCTATTTTTGGACGATTACAATAACTTACCCTACGGGAAGTTAAAAACTTTTGAACCTAACTTAAAAATAACAATTCATCTTATAAAACAATTAAATAACGTATACTTAGGAGTGATGTTAAGGTCTCGTAAACTAAACAACAGAGCCCACAACCGAAAAAACTAACAACGAAAGACAATACTTTTATTATGAATTTTGAAACATTTTTGTTTATCTCCCGAAAACCGTCAACAAAAATTGAAATCAACTAGCATAGTGCCAGTGAGAAAACATAAAGTTAGGTAAAATTACAAAAATTAAAATCTATTATTATTCATTTGACAGTAATAAATATCAGATGGTTACGAATTTTATGGGCCGATTCTGCCTTAAAATATACTATTTTTATTGTGACAGTTTTCATACAAAGTTGTCCTAAAATTTTTTTGATAAAAGTTATCCATCTTCATTTTGTTAAAATTATAATCAGCGGTTTTCAAAATATATTTGTTAAAAAACTGGTACAACTGAACCAGCCTATCTTCCTGCTATATTTATTTTCTAACTTACGCCAAACTGATCAAAAAGTCTTCTAATTTGAATTCAAGAGATGAGAACCGATTTTTTGCAGTTTAATATAAATGGCCCGCTAAGTGAAGTAACCCATATATGAACATGAACATTGTAATAAACTATATTCATTAAATTGCGATTTGTGTTATTTTTTCAAGCGAATCGTACTATTTGTACTATTTCTTTAAGCAAATACCTTCAAGCGAATTGCATGCATACCTTCAATTATGAAACATGAATATGGTAAAATTTATATAATAATCTTTATTAGGTTCTGTCAGCTCGGGGGTACCAAGTTCAATCTCGGGGTCTCATCGAAGTAAAAGGTAAAGGAAAAATGGAAACGTTCTGGGTCCTCGGTCGCAAGAGTACAAGACCGCCTCCATTCCAAAGACAACCAAGCCAAGTCCATTCTTTGGCAGCTGTCGTTTATGGTATGGTGCAGGCCAGAAGAAAGCAGACCAGCGCTGGTGAGTTATAAAGGATTCTACCAATTCTTCTGCTTGCTGGTGGAGCGGACTTTTTATTCTTTTATTGCTTGATGCTGGGTTTAAGTTGGCATGGTAATCTTATTGGTTTTAATAGATAATAATGATTAAATAATCATTATTCCTTGATTTATGTAATGTGGTTATTCTGTAAACACGTCGCACTTTTTGTTATATTATTTAAATGCTAAGTGTGATAGTTTTATTTATTTATATATTTGATTTAATGAAGATAGGTTATTGTTGTGAACTATCGGATTGAGGATGATTTGCAATTAACCAAATTGCATTGATATGTTAGCAAATAATATTATAGTAATGATATAGCAGAATTATCTTGTAAATATTAGCCAAACATTAACTTGATAATTTGTAATGCTTCAAAAATATATATATAAGTTTTAATCTGAGATTATAATGTATAATCAGAAAAATTATGAATTAACCATAATTGTAATCATAAAAGGCAGAAGTCTAGCCTCTACGTCTATATGTACACATAAATGCTTTGATCTCGGTTTCCTCTCGAGTATCGTTATAAAAGAGTATACAATGAATATTACTAATTTTTTGCTCCCAAATACAAAACTGGTGCGTTATTCGAGTTTTAAACCTATAACCTCAATTCCCTTTTTAAATTTTATAGGTATATATTTCATATTTATCAAAGTAGCTTATCTTGAAAGAACTGATTTCTACATTTGCTTTTAGAAGCTACTACTTAGTGATACTGGTATTTAAGATTAGGGTATTATTACAAAGTAATTACTTTTCTTCAATTAAAACAGTATTATTATGATGGAAGTTGGAATATATCAAATCGTAACATGGATATCCAATGAGATGAGCATAAGATTGATATATACCGTGGTAATAATTTTAATTATTAATAAAAACTATATTTAGTTAAACGAATAATTTATCAAAGAATTTGAATAGTCAGATTTAGTTCAATGCATTCCATCGAAAACCCAGCGTCGCTCATATCTTATAATATAATAATTTCGGAAATTACAAGTTAATACTTTCGAATACGCAATTTTACAACTGAGCAATTATATTGTGAAAACCAAACCAATTATATCACGACCAATAACACATATCAAACAAACAACTATCTGACCGAGTGCAGTAAATCTTCCAGATAATTTGTCAAAGAAATGAGTTAATTGCCTTTTTTTTAATTTTTGATCAGGTCTTTTTTACCCCATAGGCGGGGTAAAATGTGACACCCAGGAGGCAAACAGGTCCAATGTCTTATTTTTAATTTTAAAGAGATTTTGCGAAATAATAACTATTTTATTCAATGCACATAACCTTTATCTGGTATTTTGTTAAAAATATTCATCAATCAATGATTAATGATTTTTATTAAAAGTGAATAAATAGTGACTGCTTTTACGATGCATTTTTACAATTTTATTTCATTGCATCCTTTTGCGTGCAAATACGACATAGTTTTCAAAAATCACTAACTTATATCACTGGATGGCTTTTGCCATCGCAAACATAGACGACAGGGTCTAAACGTGTGCGGGTAAAAAGGTACACCACCGATATCTCAAAAACAAATCAAGAATTTTTTTATTTGGAAGCCAAGGTAAAAAGATATATAACCAGTCATCAATTTGATACGTTCGACGTTTCGGCAATGTTTGAAATTGCATAACAAAACAATTTTCTTTCGTTATTAGGTTTTTTGGTTGTGAGCACTGTTACTAAACCTTAATTTTTGAGTATACATTAATCAAAGATTTTTTTACATAAGCTATATAGAAGCCTACATGTGGGTAAGGTAAACAGAACTATCAGAGTCTTTACCTTAGTAAAGTTATTAACAACAAATAAAAATATTAAGCAATTTCATAAGAGACAAGTTAAAAAAATATTCATTCCAACTCTGCTAATGATTATTTCTAACGAAATAGCAGATCAAGGTTATCTACAGTGTTATCTCTATAAAAATGTGTCCATGAAATTTATATTTTGCATTGTAAAATTCCTTCAAAATTAAAAATAACACATTGGACCTGTTTGCCTTCTGTCTGTCCCATTTTACCCTGCCAATGTTGTAAAAAGGCTCATGGGACAAATTTTCGAAAAAACAGCAAAAAAATATATTTCTACTATATGATGAATAGCTGAGAGTTTTACTGGACATAGTCAGATAGTTGTTTCTTTGATATGTGCTATTTGATATGAAATAATTGATTTGATTTCCATAATATAATTGCTTAAATTCAAATTGGATCTTTGTGCCCCGCCCTACTCTATTTCATAAACTAGGCATTGTACTTTAAGTCTTGAATCATCTACAGTTCGAGACGAATTGCATTTTTATTTTCCATATTTTCTTGCTAATATGGTTCTATTTCTGATATACAGGGTTCTCAAAATCCTAACGTCAAGCCAAACCGGATTAAGGAATTGATTTTAAATATCAAGAAAAAAACTTGAAAAAAAATCCCATGCAGTTTAAATATTATGAGCTTTTTAGTACAATCTAAAACTTTGATCAAAACTGTGACCATTTTGTGGTTGTTTCGGTTCATTTTTATTTGTTCATTTAAATTTTGGAACCGTAACCGTAAATAGCATTTATAGGACTACAGTCGAGAATAACAGTATAGGGAAAAGTCCCCAAGTGGCGGACACCTAAGGTTATGTATCAATAAATCAAAAAATATTTTACGGAATGTTTATCAAATTATGATTTATGTTAGATAACAAAGCTAGAAATCAAACTAAATTAACAAAATCGCAATCTTTGCTAAAAAATAATTAATACTATCAATCAAATTTTGCTATCAAAAAATATGATTTTAAACAGTGGCACCTAGTACTGGACATTTCAAAATAAACTGCATTGATCACATAAGTAGGCATCTCCACGCTCTGGAATGCCTGCACATGTGTCTTTGACGAATATTCTAAGATATTGCAAAAAAAGTCACTATTCATCCACTCTTTGGCTGTGCCACACCGATGCTCTCAGCTGGTGCATACATAATCTTTTCATTCTTCGACTATGAAATACGAAAAATGTGGGTATGTAGTGACCGTTAGCACTCATAAAGAATAAAATTAAATATTTGGAATAAATTACGTAAATTCTCACAAGAAATATCAATATGTTTACTGTCCGGCACTAAGGAACGACTTAGTGTCCGGTGCCAAGGGACAGACATTTTTGTTTATTTGATGGCACCTACTAAAATTGGTTAAAAGATCTGATGATATTCTACCATTTTACGGATAACAATCTTGTACGACTTTTATCTTTGCATACCACTCAAATGTAATTGCATAAATATGCTAGAATTTCTTCCATTGATATTTAGGTGACACCGTGATTTTGCGCCTAAAACAGGAATGGGTTGTACTTTGAAATGAAAAGATTTATACTCGTCTAAATAATACGTGTTAAATAGAGTGTCCGGTGCTCGGTGCCGTCCGGCGTTACGGGACTTTTCCCTTATTGACTCAAGTTTATATAATTCAGAAAAGATTGATCGCAATCGCGACTTTTTCTGCTTGTCACTGAAAAATAGCATTCAAAACTAAATATAATTTTAGAATGGCCTTTTGTATATAGCAGAGAATATGACTATGGTTAAGTTGCGTAAAAATTCACACACCATTAATCCATTTTACGCTTTTATTTACTCTTTAACGCAATTTCATTCAACGACCCATAATATGTATTGTAAAATAATTCAGTATATTATTTATTTAAGTCATGTATAATTGTAAGATATTTAGGTTAGTCATTGCTCACAATGTCTTGAAAAAAACTTAATAAATTTGATACTATGAGCGGAACTGAAACTTAATCGTAAACTGTTTGTATTTATGAGTCAAATATTAAAATAACTAGTATTATTGTTGCTTCAATATTATATATTTAAATTTTAATTTCCAAAATCAGCATTTTTCATAATTAAGTATTCTGTTTACATAATGTAAGTAATCATCAATTTCTGAAGTTGTATCGATAATTGTATGTGAATTTTCACAAAATAATCACATATACGAAATGTTATGTGCGTTCCATAATTTGAGGCACATAATTTTTATGGAAATATTAATTATTACTTCACATCGGGTAATAAATATTCGAAATATAAAATTTCTCTTATCTAGGGCAGTTGTGCATTAAGAATTTTAATTTATTTATTTGTTTCTACTTATTGTTGTACATCCATACCGCATGCTTGTTCAATTATTTTTGCATGATTGTATAAACTGTCAACAATATATGTTAAGAGCAATTAAGTTATTGATGTTATGATGTACATAGAATAATATTTTCTATTTCATATAACGAAGTAATATTTTAAATTTACGAATTACTTCTATAATTTGTTGTACAGATATGTATAATTATATTTATAGTTTAGTATTTTGTTTTATTGGTTCTCTTTTGGTAATCATTAAAAAAACTGAAGGAGTGTTGAAAGCATATTTACTTATCGTTAGCATTAAAAACAAATAGTTCATGTGCAGAGAATCTAAAATTAAATTCTCTTGTGTTGATATAAAAGAAAACTTATTGTTATAATTCACTGGATCGTTTTTGGCTCTCCGATTTTTTTTTCTGTGACCTAAAATTTTGGTAATGAGCTCATTTTAATGTTAAACTTCAAAAGTGAAAATCACTTGAACTTCACGTCCACCCTTGGAGAGAATGGCACCCTTTCTCGGTGGTATACTCTTATTTAAATATGCTCGGATGTCGTTAGCAGGCCTAATTTAACAACAAACACTATTTTATATAGTTTATATACGATACAGATATAATTTTCTACAAAAAAAATAATACTTCCGAAGTTATTGCTAATTGAAGTACGGAATTTTTTACGTTTTTCATCAAAAAAACATTTTTTGTAATAAAAAGGCCTATATGTTTGATCATTATACTTTTAGACGTTCATTTTATTATTTTTGAGATATCATGAAAAGAAGTTGTTTTTTACATAAATTTGGATTTTGTTACCGGTTTGATCAGTTTTCTTTCTTGCTACAATTTTGTTCATCATAAAATTTCTGTTAAGATGCATATTTTTGAAGATATTTGTAAAAAACGATAAACAACATAAATAATAAAAACTTAATTTTCAATTCAATGACCTAAAAAGAATTTGTTTTTTTTTTTGTTTTAAAGAAACTTTATAATACTTTTGTTTCTTAAAAAAAATCTACCGAGAATGGTGGCAACTTGCTCTAATGTGAGTGTGTAGTTTAAACAATTTTCATTTTGAATTTAAGAATAAGGTTAACCAAAAACCAAAATTTTATGCAAATCGGTTTACAGTAGAAAAATCGGAAGCACCACCCTCTTTTTCGTTTAAATAACTGCACCAAATTCCTAATTCTCAATTTTAATTTGTTAATAATATTACTAAATTGCATTTATGAAAATTTTGCTCAAGTTCATAAGTATTATGAAATAACAATTTCGGGAAAATCTATGACAATTTGAATAATTTTGCATAGTTTGAAGTATTTCCGATATTGTTCAAAAGTTCAAATTTATTCAGACAATATTTCTGCTTTTATAAAATTTATTTAATTTTTTTTCAATAATATTTTGTTCTTAGATTTTTATTTCAGTATAATTTACTTTGCGAATAAATGTTTATAGTTTGTCACTTTGTATAAAAGTATGCTTTCCAAAATATATTTAGCAAATTTGGCAGCATCTGCTCGGGCTAAGATTAACAGTGCAAATGAACAAAAACGAAAAGATGAAGAAGCAAACAAGCAAGACAAAAAAAGCAACAAAGGCGGTTTCGGAGGCAGAAGGGTCGCCAATTTTAGTTCGATGCGAATTTCACAGCATACACCTTCGAATCCTGTACGAAGAAATACAACTAGAGCACACCAAAGAAATAATTATGCTAGGTAAAATATTACATTTAATATTAATTTTTTAGTGCAATTAGTAATAATATAAATGCTCCGAATAAGATATTCAAATGATTAATACATTTTTTTTTGAAAATAATTGATTTATTTCTAACATTTCGATACTGGGCAGATTTTTGATAAAGAATGCCATGTATATTTAGATTTCTTTTTCGGAGCATACACAAGTTATTAATTAAATTTTATATATAATTATACTTTACTATAAACCTACACAAACACACACATATATATACATATATATTATTATTTATTTATTATTTCGGGGTGATTTCTGGTCATAAACGTAGTTTAGTTTTTTCAAAGCAATTTTCCTACAGATTGCTGAACGTAGTGTATATTTGCATGTGGCTCAAACACAGTATTTTTCCCATATGGTTATAGAATGCTTTTATTTATATAGTTTTTTATATTAATAAGATGCTTGAATTAGTAGCTTGAAGGGCCAAGAAGTTTTAGCATGAATGATTCGAATAAAAAATACAACATATAAAGCAACGTATATATGAACTACATATAAAGTATAACATAATATAATAAATATGAATATTATATGAAATTATGAGTTATATTACCATTGCAATAACAAAAAATACTTGAAACAAATTATTATTTTAACGCACACACTGAATGTAACCGCTACTGATGCAATAAAGTTCTTGCTATGCTCAAATTTAAATCTTTTGAGAATTTGTAAAAATGTTAGAAGAGAAGATAATAAGCCATTGATAGGGTATACCTTTTATTCCGGATCACAAATTCTTAATTGGGATTTGAAGGACTCAAACAACATTCGATTCGATAAAAGACTGCTACGTAGCGCGATTGTTTTGAAAACTAGTTGAAAGTGTCTTTTTGCCTTGAGGCAACTTGATTGAACTTCCCGATATATGTAATAATTGATTTAACTAACCAAAATTCCGATTTATCTCGAAAATAAAGTTTCGCTTTCACTTAATTCTAACTATTGCTATTTCCAGTTGATATATCCCAAACACATTTAAATTATCTGATTATCTAATTATTATATTTATTATAGTGCACAGACATGTGTGCTTGTATATACTAAAATTGCAGCTTGTTATTCCAAATTTTAATTAATTCATATAATTCAGCTTTTGATGAATTTTTAAAATTAAACGGCTTGTCGTAGGGCCGTAATATTTTAGTATGTTCTATAAGACCATGATATCTTATCTATCATAAAAAAATTCATAAGAATCTCAAAAAAAAATGTCAACTCTTAATTACAAGAAAACGGTCCAGTCGATCTTTACCAGAAACTAATCAGTATCATTCCCAACCAATATCTTTAGGATTGTGAGCAAAATGTGGATAAAAAATTTCACACTATTTTGCCAATTACAAAGAAACGGCTCGGCCGATTGTCGAATTAAACGACTTGTTGTAGCGCCGTAATATTTTAATATGTTTTAGAAGACCATGTACCTATCATCAAAAAAAAATTCATAAAAATTTCAACATTTTATTACAAAAACACGTGGGAATCTTTACCAAAAACTAATCAGTATCTTTCCTAACCAATATCTTTCGAACTGTTTTTAAATATTCAGAATTGATTTAGGATTATGAGCTGAAACGTGAATGAAAAATTTTTCACATTTTTTTTTTTTTATATTTATTTATATATATATATATACATTATTTTCATATCTCAGTCAAGCAGAGTTGCCTGGTATGAGAGATTATGAAAACAGTTTTCATATAATATATACATTTCATTTGACTATAATATCTATTTCATTAATATAATATCTATATATAACTAAAAATATCTTTATATATAACTCTTCAGTCTTCTTTGTCTTCAATTTCCTTATAGTGTTTTTTTATTTTTCTTTTAAATTTATCGTCATCTTTGGTCATCTTAATACTGTTTGGCAATTCGTTATATGTTTTGCTGGCACTCCATATGACATTTTCTCTGAAATTCTTCTTTCTATTGTGTTCAATGTGAAAATTGTTGTGTTGTCTAGTGTAGTGTTCATGTATATCTTGATTTAATTTATTTTTGTCAAACATTTTCACAAAACTGACAAACGCTAGTCCTCATCGAGTTACATCGAATGGCTTTTATATTTTCAAAATTGGTTTAAAATAGGTTTATGAAAAAACTTCGACGAAAAGTCAAAAATCGGCTCACATGCACACACACACACATACTTCTTCCAATTTGGTCTCATTCGATCCAGAATAGCTTGAAACGTCAAGAAAACATAAAATCAGCAAATCGGATTTTTTTATAAAATAAAACTTATACTTCGGGAAGTTAAAAAGTTGAAAATATACAAAAAAAAATTATAATATAAAAAACATTAAAATTTTTCAAATTCAATTGTCAATTTTCTTTAAAAGTTTCAAAAATCTAATTTTTCAAAAATTAGAAATCAAAGTTTTCAGCTAGCTGAATTTCATTATATTGCACTTTTGCTCCAATCTTTGAAATCCCACTACCTTCTCTAATCTTAAAATGTCTATTTTAGACATTTTAAAAGAAGAAATAATTTACTGACAATATCAAATGATTTCTCCAAAACATTATTTCCGAAGAATATGCCATATGCATATGATAATTGTTTGTTGGCTTGGAATTAGTTATTCTGCTAATTAATATAAGGGATTAGAAAGATCTATTTTAAACAATTTAATGCTTTAAACTTCAAAATTGTTGGAGAAGAGCCAATATTGAATTATATTTTACATTGCATTGAACTATATTTTACATTACAATTACATTTTAAATTTACAAATATTTAAAAGTAAAGGGAAAAAGATGGATAACCAGCTGCCACTTTGAATCTTTTTGAATTTGAATAAATGTTCAAGTCCTAAATGCTAATTACAATGACAAATTGAAGTGTGATTTTAATTACATTAATATTTTCAAACATTATAAATATTTTTATTGGTATTATAAATATATAATTTATAATTTTTACTATATGAATATTTATAATGGTTGACATTAAAAATGTGTGAATTACGAGTGTTACCATATTACTAATAAGCATTATTCAAAATTGTTATATGATGTATTTATATTACTCTCGTGCAATAGCAAACAAGTTTTACTTCAATCACGTGTGAACCTTACGCGCACTCTTTTTTTATTGTTAACCGTTGCTAGAGTAAAAGTTCAGTGGCTCATTTTTTCCTCGCCCACGGGTAAGCTTTTATAGAGCTTATATAAAAAACTGTTGAATCTAATTTAAAACTAATCTAACAATGGATACATCTAATAAGGAAATAGGTTTGTTGTGGATTTTCAAACTGCCGTTTTTCTTCCGATAGTAAAGTCATAAGAGTCAAGGTGATAGCTGGTTATACATAATTTTTGTATACTTTTAAAAATAGTTTTTCAAACATTTTTAACTATACTTGTTTTTGAGATATTGGTAGTGGATTGTTGTAACCACAGACTTTCAAGCATCGCTCAACCCTATGTAGTATATTTGATCTATAGAAAAGTGAAATATTACTTTTTCCAGATTGAACTCTATGCTTTAAAAATTGACACAAATAAATATATTTTTGTTTAATTGTGTTCTGAACAATTTTATATACACACATGTTTCTGATGGTACACAAAATAAATACTTTATGTCGTGAATTGTGCAAATAGCTTTTAAAGTCCTATGGTCGCTAGAAATCTATTCGATGGAGTAAAATTTATTGAATTAAATACTGAAATTCGTACTATGGATTAAAATTACGGGAATATAAATAAAGAGAATGTTGCACGTTTTTTACTAGAGTAGATTTATGTAATAAGCCAATGAAGCAGTAGGTGCAACGTGCATATGACCGATTCCTAGAACGCAATTTGATTATTTTTTAACATTTTATTAGTTAAAGATTATAATGAAGCTGAAATATAGAATGTGGTCATGATTATATTTAGATTTATAGCAATATCGCATATGATGTCATTGGAATAACCAATAATGCAATAATGAGTCTTTGCCTTTAATGTGCTTACTTCTAACTGCATAATTAGATATGCACAATTTTGTCGGCTCAAATTTAAATGTTTAGTTCTAATATATTTATAGAGCAGAGTTTGAGAACCATTACAAAAAAATTGGACAAACCGAAATAAAAAACCTGCATCCAAGGCAAATATTAAACCACATCACAAAGATCCAGTTATGATAATTTGCGATCTTTATTACGATTTTTTTTTGAAATTCAAAGCTTTTGACGTTATTTAGTACGATTTTGTATGAGAACTGCTACATAACATAGCTTTGCCATAACGTGAGTCTATGTGACGGCAGAATCGGCCCCTTAATCTTCTTCTGCTTTTAATTTTTAACTTCCCGAAGGAGAAGTTTATGTTTTCGCGAAAAAATCGGATTTGATAATTTTATGTTTGCTAAGATCAAATTTGACAAAACTATATGTGTTTGAGCCGATTTTTGACTTTTTGTCGACGTTATTTTAGAAAACAGCTGGATCAATTTCAACAATGCGCGACGATCAGCCATGCCGTTTCTGAGCTTCTGAGAGAAGTGTAAAATTTTTTGCCCACCTTTTAGCCTACAATCTTGAATTGATTTTAAACATTCAAAAACTTTTTTATTATAGTACTTTTTATACCTACCCTGAAATGAATAACAAGTAAAACTGTAGAGAAAAAATCTTGTGACCATTGTCAGAAATCTTGAAAATTGGCTTCTGATTTTGAATTAATATTTAAATGTAACAAAAATTTCTGTTTTTAATCTTGCCGTAATATCATAGCGTTGTCTCTGGCAAGTGGTTTTGGATGGTTCTCGAGGCAGATTTTACAATTGTCTTTCATCCTTTATTGTGTTTATGTCGACGTGTTTACATATTAACGAATTCGATACATTCTTTGGGCATTCAAAATTTCTTTAAGTAATTTTGTTTGATCTTTGAATTTCCATTCCCCATTGTTCTAAACCGTATGTCCAAATTAGCTTAATAATAGCTTAGTGCAAGTAGGTACATTTTGTTGTGCGTGCCAAGATTGATTCCCGCGCTAGATGTGACATCATCTTCTCGTCTCCTCAAGTTGCAATCTTTCTTTTTAATATTTTCTTTGCAGCTTAGCTCTTTATTCAAAAGTAAAGCCAAATATTTTATCGTGTCTATTTTTTCTAAATATCATCAGTGCTACTGATAGCATGGCATGTCCTGCATGTTCATAATTTTAAAAATTCAAAAACTGTTCGAAAGATATTGGTTGGGAATCACGTTGATTAGCTTTTGGTAAAGATTTGATTAAATTTTGAAAAAGTTATTTAGACGATTTTGATGAAACTTTGTATAACGAAATACCGTAGTCTGAAATAATATACAGGCCCGCGATAAGCGGTTGAGTTATAAAAATTTATCGAAATAAGCAAATGCACATAAGCGATTCTTATACGAATCTATGCCGAAACATATGTACGTTCCGTGTTTTGTATGTAACTAGTAATTACAGTTGATGTCCACACTTAAATAAAATTCATTTTCAAAACCCAAAATGTGATAAATAAATTCATTAAACTTATATAATTACAGATATAGGGTAGAATGGTCAAATATCAATAAGTAAAGTCAAGAATTTTTTAACAACAATATTTAAAACTAGAGAGAAAAAAACAGCCATCAACGCCTTGATTCTTACGACTGCGATATCGGGAAATGAACGGCAAAGTCTGAAAATCCATAACAGAAGTATTGTCTTCTCTTAGTTGTTTTCGTTGTAAGCATAAGCACTCTTATTTAGTTTACGAAACCTTAATATAATTTTTAAGTTTACGTTAGTTAACTTAACGTTAGTTAATTGTTTTATAAAATGTATTGTTAATTTTAAGTTAGGATCAACATTCTATATGATCTCTACAAAATCTTACATGTGGACCACATGTGAACCACATGATGTGGTTGAAGTAAACAGAACAAATTAAAAATTTACCCTGGCAAAAATATATTCAATAAAAACAGTAAATAAAAAGTAAACTAAGTTTAAAAAAGCAATTTAACAAGAAAAAATTAAATAATTAGTAAATTCAACTCTGCTAATGAATATTTCTGACAATATACCAAATCTAGATTATATTCAGTGTTATTCCTATAAAAAAGCATCTATAAAATTTATATTTTGCATCGATAGAATAATGTAGATAGTAATATCTACATAACATTATACATATTAAAATTTCTTTGAAGTTAATAATAAGACATTGGATTTGTTTGCTTTCTGGCTGTCCCATTTTACCTCGCCTGTGGGACAAAAAGGACCTGGAAAATTGTGAGTCTATAATGATGACTCCCAGAATATCTGACTATCTTCAGTAAAACTCCTAGCCTGGAAGTTCTACTGAACATAGTCAGATAGTAGCTTGTTTGATGTTTTTTTTTATTGTAATATAATTGATTTGGGTTTTATAATATAATTGCTCAAAGTCAAATTGTACCTTTGTTTGAGAGACCTCAATTCTAAATCGCATTGATTGTTTCTTAGTATAAGCAAAAAATTTATTTTCGAAATAAACGGTTGAATTTGTCTAAATAGCTGAATATCAATTCCTATTAACTTCCCGTAGAGTAAGTTATAGTAATCGCAAAAAGAAACGAAAATGAAAATGTTTATATATCTTTACGTTTCATAGGTTTCTGAATCTTTTGGCATACCTGAGAAAAAATTGATGTATGTGTGTGTGTGCAGATACAAATTTTTGTCGACGATTTCGGGAACACCGATCAACCGATTTGAATAATTCAAAAAACATTTGATTCGTATTGATAAGGAGACGTGCGGATTAATTTTTTGGGAAGGCAGGTCTAACCATTTTGAAGATAAGGAGCAAAAAGTGCAAAAAATGGCAGGTTCTGAGAGGACAAATCGGCCGATTTTAATGATTAAAAAAACATTCGACTCGTATTGAAACGTACTGATTAGTTTTTGGTATAGGCAGCCGTTTCGAGGATACAGAGCAAAAGTACAGAAATTCCGATTAGATACTAGACGGGCTCGCCCTAGGTAAGCGGTTAAGAGCGACGGGACTTGACGAGAGGTCCCGGGTTCGATACCCACTTCGAGCAGCCTCTTGTCAGGCAAATGTGACAACGATTTTCACTTGGAAATATAATTAGCAATATGTTTCCAAGTGAAAATAGCCCTCACCCGGCATTGTTGCACCATACTTGCCCAAGCACGGAGATTGTAATAAAAATTTATCATACAGAGATGTGACAACTGTTTGGGTTGCCATCTGTAATAAAACAAACGTAGTTTCTAAGATATTAATCACAACAGCTCATAGAACCCGTAAGTTCTGATCGCTGTTCAAAAAAAAAAAAGAAAAAGATCCTAGACATCGTTGATAGAAAAGAAAGTCAAGACTGATCGGGTTCCAATTCCATGTCTGTAATATTTTTTTTTAAATTTTTTTAATACCTTTTATGTTTGTATAGTTGACACTACATGAACCATTTAAAATTGTTAACTCAGTGCATATATTTCACGAACGAAAAATTGATGGATTTGAAATAAAATATGTTCATTCTAACAATAAGACCGCTTAATTAGATTTTGTTTATATATAAATATTTCATTTAAACATATATAAACGTTATCTAATCTAATAAGTTCTCACATTTGTCTACAAGGAACAAATAATGAAAATTCTGGTTTTTATAATATTTGTTCATAGACATTTTTGTTGACTAATTATTTTTATTCTTTGAATGTTTAATTACGGTACGGAAAGTTCTAGCAATTTGCCTTAAGGCACGATGCCGTGCGCCCCACTAGTTGATTATGTATAAGTATCGGCAACTTGCTTTAAGACAACATGCCAACTACTATAACCATTACAACTAATATATCCATTAATTCATTTACCTAGGTCACAGCCAAACGTCCGCATGGAATCTCCTGTGCAAGGAAATGGGAAATCCATAACAAGTGAAGGCACAACAGCCGAAAGTGCGGCTGCCGCCCAGTCGCCGTCCTCCGGTATCAGAGCGCCCGCTTCCGCGCCGCATACACCAAGCGCCAATTCGGATTCGAACCGATTTCCACGCCTTTTATCGGAACCAATCGTCTCCCGCACCAGTAGCGCTGTGAGCAACATGGGAAGTGAAGTGATAAATGCGGTTACTGAAAGTACGAACATTTAGATTTAAATTTAAGTTTATTTTTATGAAAGTATACTTATCAAATGCTGTCGACAAAATGGAAGAGAAAAATGAAAAGTTTAGAAATTGAGGCCTTACACAGCCAGCCAATAGCTTAAAGTATTTTGCCATTATAGATGCCGTTGGAAAAAATTTGATGCGCATATCAAATTTTATATTAAATTCATATTTTATTAAATTAATTAATGCATAGAAGATTTACTTATGTGCAGATTGATTGTGGACTGGAAATCAATGCAGTCATTTAAAGTAATATGTCGACAGCCAATAATACTCTGATATGAATATAAATTTTTTTATATGAGTGAAAAAGGTATATATATATATATATATATATATATATATATATATATATATATTAGGGTGGTCCTTAATATGGACATTTTCGAATTTCTTTGCTCCCAAGGGCTCAAATGGTTCCAAATTGATAAAAAATAATTCTCTGAAAGTTTTAGCTCTTAATATTGCCTTTTTTATAGAGCGCAATTCCATCAAAATTTTGTATGGAAATAGCATGAAAAAATTTTCAAAAATTGCGCAGAGCGTTTTTAATTTTCAATAAAAAATGACACAATCTTCACTTTTAATTAATTTGTCGCTAAGTTATACCTAACAATTTTTTTTTAAATTTTCAAAATAATTTCCATGCTATTTCCATACGAAGTTTGATTGAATTGCGCACTATCTAAAAGTTAATATTAAGAGCTAAAACTCTCAGAGAATTGTTTTTTATCAATTTGGAACCATTTGAACCCTTGGGAGCAAGGAAATTCGAAAATGTCCATATTAAGGACCACCCTAATATATATATATATATATATATATATATATATATTAGGGTGGTCCTCAAAATGGTCATTTTCGAATTTCCTTGCTCCCAGGGGCTCAAATGGTTCCAAATTGATAAAAAACAATTCTCTCAAAATTTTAGCTGTTAATATTAACGTTTAGATAGAGCGCAATTCAATCAAAGTTTGTATGGAAAGAGCATGGAAAAATTTTTGAAAATTAAAAAAAAATGTTTTAAGTATAACTTAGCGACAAATGAATGAGTTTTATTCATTCATTTGTTCGCTAAATTACATTTAAAAAACATTTTTAAAGTTTTTGAAAATTTTTTCATGCTATTTCCATACAAAACTTTGATTGAATTGCGCTCTATCTAAACGTTAATATTAAGAGCTAAAATTTTCAGAGAATTGTTTTTTATCTATTTGGAACCATTTGAGCCCCTGGGAGCAAGGAAATTCGAAAATGACCATTTTAAGGACCACCCTAATATATATGTATATTATATACACCATATGTATATAGACGTGCGAGGGCATCAAGCCAAAGTAAGCCAAGTTTTAATAATATAAAAAAATTTTAATTACTATGAATAGTTTTTAGACATACTTAGTTCGTCAAAAAGGGAAAACTGTAAAGACTTCCAGCTGTCGTGAACTTGTATATAGAAATATATATCTATATTTACAAATTTAAAATACAAATCACGTATGATGTAGTTAATTTCAACAAAGGATTTTTACTTTAACTTAAATAATCATGTTAAATTTGATGTTATATTTGATTCTAAAAAAAATATATGAGAACAAAACTATGAAGCAAACATTAATAAATATCTCAACATATAAATCACGTCACATCCCAATGCATATATAAATTTATTATACACACTCGATTGATTTCACGGTTTGCATTTCTGCGAATAGCGTTAAAAACGATTTAAACAGAAATTAACTATTGATTTTACTTAAATTCTATAAATATTTTTCAAAAGATGTACGAAACGGGGTTATAGAACTATTACATATAGTTATAAGTAAAATGAGTAAAAGTTTAAAGATAAATAATACAATGAAAATATATAAAAGTTCTTTATCGATCCCATTGTTTTAATTTATTTGTAATGAGAAAAATATCACAAAGAGGCAAACATACTTCCCGTTAAAACTAACCTGTAAAAATTTAGAGAAAAAAAATATCTCACATTGTTGCAAAGTTATGAGCTTTTAAGTGCAACTTAGAGCTTTGGTGAAATTATGATTCTTTATTTCATTTAAACTTTGGAACTATAACTGTGAATCATATTTCTAGGGCTTCTGTGAAAAATATTGCTGCAAATTTTCAAGAATTAAAACTTTTTGCTCATCTACGAATTTATTTTTTTTAGGTCGGTCGACTTTGAGATGCCCTCTTTTAAAAATGTACTAAAGTGTGTAAGTAAATTTGACCAAAAGTTGGCGCAAGTTTGTATGTATACATACAAAACAGTTTTCGATAGAAAATAATCCGTTGTTAGGGTCATAATACAATTTGACCAATTTTTTAATAAATTAAAAAAATATTTTTCATTATTTTATTTAAGAAATGGCCCGATTCGCAAAATAGTAAGTAAAAAGATATTTCAATATACTTTTTTTTGAAATTATAAAACTTTGAGAGTGTACATAAAAATTTAATATGTAATAAGAGTGTTCCTAGATGTAAGAATGCAGATAGATGTTTATAACCTAATTGTAATATAACATACAGTATTTTTGTAAATATTCTCTAATAATTTAGTAATATGTTAAAATCAAAACAAGAATTTTATTAGACGCAGTGGGTTGCATTATGCATTTTATTTCATAAGTAAAAGTTGAGTTTCTATCTCAAGTCGAAATGTTTCTTCTATCTTTTAAAAAGTGTCTAATTTAATTAAATAATACAACATGATCATAAAACCAAATATATATATATATATATATATATATATATATATGTATATAAGTATTTGTTTTCAGAAAATTTTCATTTTATTCTAATTGCACAAAATAATTGATATAAGTTCCAACAGATCTGGTGAAAAGATCTGTCGTAGTATATTGAAATTTAATATATAATATAGTTGTCATTATCATTTGCAATCTCGAAATTTAATTTTAATTTTATTTCATTTAATTTAACTCCACAAAACGAAAATTTTTCAATTCAAACAGCTTACCTTACCGATAACTCTTTTGAGTAACATGATTTTAAATTGAAATATCATTAGAAAATTAACTATTTATAACCATAAACATTCAATTATTTTTAATTTATTATAGTAAATATAATTAGGTGCTATTAAGAGTAAATAAATCTTTGTATAATGTTAAATTACTATTATAATATTAAAATGGATAAAATTACTTACTACTTATTAATATATTATTAACATTATTTTGAATCTTTTAAATGCTTTTCATCTATTGGTTAAAGATGAAATTGGTTCAAGCATATAATTATTTTCTTATCTATGCCTATGTTATGTTATATTATATTTAAAAAAAGTTTTCATAAACCAACTGTAATTGCCATTAATTTCATCATCAAAAAATAGTCAAATAATGTGACTAATATATAAATATCTATAAACATGATTGAGTTTAAATAAAATAGGTCAATTTTTTAAAAGTTTTAAAATTAGGGTCAATTAATTTTTTATATAGTATTTATTTACTTTTGTTACCTTCCGGTAGGGTAAGTTCTCTCGAAAACTTTATTTCCATTTTGTGCACTCTTTGCTCCGTATCTCCGAAACGGCTGGACCAACCATTGCATATTTGCATTTTTGCATATCTTTACGTTTTGAAGGTTTCTGAACATTTTGGCATATCTTAGTTAGAAAAAACTAATGTGTGGGTATGCGTTGGTATGGATTCAATTTTTCGTCCTCGCTTTTGAGAGCAATTGATTTCAACTGATTTGAGTTATTCAAAAAGCATCAGACTCCTATTGAAAAGATGTGCTGATTCATTTTTTACAAAGGTTGGTCCAGCCGTTTCGGAGATACGGAGCAAAGAGTGCAGAAAATGGAAATGAAGTTTTTGAGAAAACGGAGCATCCGATTTGAATGCTTCGAAAAACATTTCACTTATATTGCCGTAATGAAGAAATGTTCAAATTTTTTCATAGGTAGGTCCAGCGGTGTCAATGATTCAGAAGAAAAGTTTTAAAAAATATCATTTGGCAATTTGGCGACATGAGTGGGTATCAAAAACTTAATTATAATAATAATTATAACTTAATTATATGTTAATAATAAAACTTAATTATAATATAATAATTTTCAAAATTTTCAAAGTTAAAAAAAAATAAAATCTCAAAATAATTGAGTTTTCAAAAGATATCAGTATTATAAAAAATATTCAAATTTTTCAAAAAAATCCTAACTTTCAAAAAAGGCAATTTTTTCAATGCTCATTTACTTCATATAATTGTAAAATTTTCAAAAATGTTGGAAAAATGGAAAAATTCAAAATGCTCAAAAAACAATATTTTTCTTTTCTGAGCTTTTCAAAACTTTAAGTTACGTTACGGGAGGTTTCAAACGAAAATCTCGAACTACCAAATAAGTTTTTTATGTTCAAAATTTAACTGAAGAGCTCTAAAACTAGTTTATTATAATTGTAATGTTGTAAAATATGATTTTTCAACTTTAACCACAAAAAATTGTGGCTACTCTTTACTTATTGTCAATAAAAATTAACTACTGGGTTGTTCGGAAAGTAACTTAGTTTTTATAGACACTTTTGCACGTAATTTTCGTACAATAAACAATTACTTTAATAAATTATGTATTGGCAGTTTTGATCGAACATATTTTTTCATATTTCTGATTTTGGTCGTTCAAAATACTGATCAAAGTGTTTTTTGACAGGCTGATTTGAAGTAAAGATTTCACCACCTAAAGTTTTTTTGTGACCGAAACAAATAATGGTCCGATGATGGTCTGGAGAATATGATGAATGTGTCATTGGGTCCCATTCAAGCTTCTGGTGATTGACCAAATTATTGTGAGGTCTTGCGTCGTCTTGATGCAGAACTATACCTTGTTGTGGGTTAATTCTGACCTTTTCTATTGAAATATATCTTTAGTTTATTCAGCTGATGACATAAGGCATCCGAATTAATCGTTATGTTATCCTGGAAAAGCTGAAAAATGAACAATTTCT